TACTGAGGGACACAGAATTGTTACTGAGGGCCACAGAACTGTTACTTAGGGCCACAGAAACGTTACTTAGGGCCACAGAATCGTTACTTAGGGCCACAGAATCGTTACTTAGGGCCACAGAATCGTTACTTAGGGCCACAGAAACGTTACTTAGGGCCACAGAATTGTTACTTAGGGACAGACACAGAATTGTTACTGAGGGACACAGAACCGTTACTTAGGGCCACAGAAACGTTACTTAGGGACACAGAATTGTTACTCAGGACAGACACAGAATTGTTACTTAGGGACACAGAATTGTTACTCAGGGACAGACACAGAATTGTTACTGAGGGATACAGAATTGTTACTGAGGGACACAGAACCGTTACTTAGGGCCACAGAAACATTACTTAGGGCCACAGAAACGTTACTTAGGGCCACAGAATCGTTACTTAGGGCCACAGAAACTTTACTTAGGGCCACAGAAACTTTACTTAGGGCCACAGAAACGTTACTTAGTGCCACAGAATTCTTACTTAGGGACAGACACAGAATTGTTACTGAGGGACACAGATTTGTTACTGAGGGCCACAGAAACGTTACTTAGGGACACAGAATTGTTACTCAGGGACAGACACAGAATTGTTACTGAGGGACACAGAATTGTTACTGAGGGACACAAAATTGTTATTGAGGACACAGAATTGTTACTGAGGGACACAGAATTGTTACTGAGGGACAGACACAGAATTGTTACTGAGGGACAGACACAGAATTGTTACTGAGGGACACAGAATTGTTACTGAGGGACACAGAATTGTTACTCAGGGACAGACACAGAATTGTTACTGGGGGACACAAGATTGTTACTGAGGGACACAGAATTGTTACTCAGGGACACAGAAATGTTACTCAGGGACAGAATTGTTACGGAGGGACACAGAATTGTTACTTAGAGGGACACAGAATTGTTACTGAGGGACACAGAATTGTTACTCAGGGACAGACACAGAATTGTTACTCAGGGACAGACACAGAATTGTTACTCAGGGACAGACACAGAATTGTTACTCAGGGACAGACACAGAATTGTTACTCAGGGATAGACACAGAATTGTTACTCAGGGACAGACACAGAATTGTTACTCAGGGACAGACACAGAATTGTTACTGAGGGACACAGAATTGTTACTGAGGGACACAGAATTGTTACTGAGGGACACAGAATTGTTACTCAGCGACAGACAAAGAATTGTTACTCAGGGACAGACACAGAATTGTTACTGAGGGACACAGAATTGTTACTGAGGGACACAGAATTGTTACTGAGGGACACAGAATTGTTACTGAGGGACACAGAATTGTTACTCAGGGACACAGAATTGTTACTCAGGGACAGACACAGAATTGTTACTCAGGGACACAGAATCGTTTAATTAAAGAGTGTATGTCAGACAACATGCATAGGAGTGGCAGAGGAGGCAATGTTTTAGGAGCGAGCAGACGTGGCAGCAGAGGAAGGGGTCGAGGCAGCACTAGTCGCAGCCAGAGGCCAGTGCTCCCGGTGTCATCCAGCGGTTTGTGTCTCCACCGACAACCCTGCCGTCATCGATTGGTTGGCTCGGTCGTCTTCCTCTTCCTAGGTCACGTCTGACACCTACAGCCAACGGTCGGTGGGTACGTCAGACACAACCGTTAGTTGGCATGGCCCGGGAGCAAGCCCACTGAAATCATGTGTCCTCGACCTGCCCCTGTCCTTTGGTGTTCCCTCACCAAGCAAAGTATCGTATGCTGTGGGCTCAGCCCCACTGTACAGTGAGGAAGAGCTAACAGAGGGCGGTCAGGAACGGGGGGAGACATCCGCCTCTTCAGCAGCCAGGCGAAGAAGTAGTGGCGAGGAGAGTGGCTCGGTAGCCGGTCTAGAGACAGGTCTGTCTCCTGACCCACACGCAGCCGAGGGGGCTAGTAGTGAGGCGGAGACCCTAATTGATGATGATGAGGCTGATCGCACTTGGCAGCCTCGTCGTCATCAGGCTATTGCTTCCGCATCATCAGGAGAAGAGGGTGGCAGCTTGGCAGCGAGCAAAACAGTCTGTGGGTTGCCCAGGAGGCAGCAGGGTCGCAGCAGTGTCAGTGGAGGCAAACGGCCACGGAGTAGAACACCAGCTCCACTGCAGCCTACCACCACGACCAGTAGTGGTGCCGGTGTGCACGGAGGAAGCAGCAGTCAGCCAGTGAGGAGTATCGGGGGCAAAGTTTCCTACTCGGCGGTGTGGCAATTTTTTGTCAAGCCGCCCGAGGAAGTAAATGTAGCCGTATGTCGACTATGTGGCCAGAAAGTCAAGCGTGGCCAGGGGGCCCATGTTGGGACTACAGCGTTGCGGCAGCATATGCAGCGTCGCCAATTGGTGACCTGGGAAAACCGTGATAAAGATACGGCGGTTCTGCCCGCCCCAGCCCCCGCTCCATCACCCGCTCCCGTTACTTGCTCCGTCACCCGACGTCAATCGCCCTCTATCAGCCAGTCAAGGCTCCAACACCTCTGCTGAGGGGAGTTGTCACTCGTTGGCATCTTCCGCTCGTTCTGATGCTCCTTCTCCTGCTACTCCCTCTTCACGGATTCCGTAAGCAGTCTTTCTTGGAATCCGTTTCCAAGAGACAACAGTTTGCGAGCACGCACCCGACGGTGCAAAAGCTGAACGTCCTCCTGTCCAAGTTGCTGGTGCTGCAGTCCCTCCCTTTCCAAGTGGTGGACTCAGCACCTTTCCGAGAAATGATGGCTTGTGCGCGTGGCCGCGGTGGAGAGTGTCAAGCCGTCATTTCTTCGCCAAAAAGGCAGTGCCAGCCCTGCATTCACATGTAGAAGAGATGGTGGGCCAGTCTTTGAGCATGTCGGTCTCTGCCAAAGTGCACGGCAGCGCCGACGTTTGGAGCTGTAACTACGGTCAGGGACAGTACATGTCATTTACGGCCCACTGGGTGAACGTGGTGCCGTCACACAGCCGCACCAGCAACTTGGACAGGTCACGCCGCTTTTGCCTCCACGTTTGCACGTCCTTGGTCACAAAAGATGTCCGCCTCTACCACCTCTTCTTTCTTCCGCCGTGTCCTCAGCCGCCAGCCGCTATGAACCACCCACCCCAGTGCCAAGTCCCATTACCCGACCGGCATATCACATGTGCAGGGCACAACGGTGTCACGCTGTGCTGCACCTGGTATGCCTTGGCGAACGTAGTCACACAGGGGAGGAACTTCTGAGTGTAATGAACAGAGAAATCGACAGATAGCTGTCTCCGCGCAAACTGAAAAATCGGAACCATGTTGACCGACAACGGAAAGAACATGGTGTCTGCTCTGCGTCAAGGAAGGTTGTGCCATGTGCCATGCATGGCTCACGTGTGTTCAATCTGGTTGTCAAGCGGTTCCTAATATCCACCATCCCACTGCAAGACATCCTTAAAATGTCACGTAAACTTTGCATGCATTTCAGCCATTCCTACACTGCAAAGCACACCCTCCTTGAGCTGCAGCGGCAGAACGGAATTCCACAGCATCGCCTGATCTGCGACGTTGCAACAAGGTGGAATTCAACCCTACACATGTTAGACCGCCTTTACGAACAGCGAAAGGCCATCACCGATTTCCTGATGTTACAAGCGGATAAAGGTACTCCCCTGTGTAACTTCGATGTCAGCCATTGGCAGCTCATGCGTGACACCTGCCGCTTGCTCAGGCCCTTTGAGGAGGCCACGCTATTCGTGAGTCGGCAGGACTATGGGATGAACGACGTCATTCCTCTGTTGCACGTCCTGGAACAAATGCTGTTAACAATGGCTGGTCAGGGTGCGGTAGACGTGGCGCACAGATCTCAACGCCACATGACCCCTGTGGGGGCAGGACAGGAAGAAGAGGAGGAGGTAGAGGAGGACATTTGTGTTCAGGAATTATTGAGTGAAATGGGTGGTTTTTTTCCACTCAGCGGACAGGAGTGGAGGAGCAGGAGCATCTGGTAGAGGAGGAGGAGAGGAGACAGAGGACCCAGACGCACCGTGGCAGTATGCTGTGGAGATGGAGGCAGGGAGTCCCTCGCATTCTTTGGCACAAATGGCCCATAGCATGCTCGGTTGCTTGCGTAGCGACAGCCGAATAATAACCATCAGACAGAGGGATGACTTTTGGCTGTCCACCTTGTTGGACCCTCGCTACCGTTCAAAAATGGTGGCCTTTTCACACCTGCTGAGAGAGGAGGCCAAAATAACGTACTATAAAAACCACCTATGTAGTCAGTTGGTCTCTGCCTTTCTGCGCCAACGTCCATCCTCAGACACTGTGGGCCCTGTGCGCTCTGCGTTCCGCTGCCATGGCAGCAGGGGAGGGGTGGGGTGGTAGGAGCAGTGGCAGCTCCACCAGCAGCGGCTGCCTCAGTCTGCAGTCGATGATGAGTAGCTTTCTTCACCAGCGCAGTGAGGAAACTACTAACCAGCCGCAGCAGCAGCAGCAGCATCAGGTGGACCTGGAGCAGGACCTCAAACAACAGGCTTGGGCCTACTTGGACAGCACCCTGCCAACCGAGGTAGACAATCCCCTTGACTACTGGGCAACGAAACTTGACCCTTTTGCCCCCAACTAGCTGAATTTGCCCTTGAAAGGCTGTCATGCCCCGGCCAGTAGCGTGGCATCGGAGCGCGTGTTTAGTGCGGCAGGAGGTATTGTAACTCCGCGGAGGACACGACTGTCCACCCAAAGTGTGGAGAGACTCACGTTTGTGAAAATGAATCAGGCGTGGATTAGTCTGGATTTCAAACCACCAGTTCCTGACACACAACTGACTAAATCCGCCATGAATCATGCCCCAAACATGTGCCACTTTCAGGTCTCCTCACACTGCTGGTGTGTTCCATTTTTTTGTCATAGGGTGCTGGCAGATTACGGGCCTCCCATTGCTGCTGCCAGGCCCGTAATCTGCCATGGGCCCCCGTACCCGCCTCCTCATGCTGCTGCCAGGTCCAGAGTGTCTCATGGGTCCCTGTACGGCCTCCCATTGCTGCTGTCTCCATCGCCACACTCTGCCATGTGCCACTTTCAGGTCTCCTCACACTGCTGGTGTGTTCCATTTTGTCATAGGGTGCTGGCAGATTACGGGCCTCCCATTGCTGCTGCCAGGCCCGTAATCTGCCATGGGCCCCGTACCGCCTTCCTCATGCTGCTGCCAGGTCCAGAGTCTCTCATGGGTCCCTGTACGGCCTCCCATTGCTGCTGTCTCCATCGCCACACTCTGCCATGTGCCACTTTCAGGTCTCCTCACACTGCTGGTGTGTTCCATTTTTTGTCATAGGGTGCTGGCAGATTACGGGCCTCCCATAGCTGCTGCCAGGCCCCGTAATCTGCCATGGGCCCCTGTACCGACCTCCTATGCCGCCAGGTCCTCAGATGCTGCTGCTGTACAGGTGCCACAGTGCCACACTCTGCCATGTGCCACTTTCAGGTCACCTCACACTGCTGGTGTGTTCCATTTTTTGTCATAGGGTGCTGGCAGATTACGGGCCTCCCATAGCTGCTGCCAGGCCCCTAATCTGCCATGGGCCCCTATACCGCGCCTCCTCATGCTGCTGCCAGGTCCAGAGTCTCTCATGGGTCCCTGTACGGCCTCCCATTGCTGCTGTCTCCATCGCCACACTCTGCCATGTGCCACTTTCAGATCTCCTCACACTGCTGGTGTGTTACATTTTTTGTCATAGGGTGCTGGCAGATTACGGGCCTCCCATTGCTGCTGCCAGGCCCGTAATCTGCCATGGGCCCCCCGTACCGACTCCTCATGCTGTGACCATTGCAACAAGGTGGAATTCAACCCTACATATGTTAGACTCCCGCCTTTACGAACAGCGAAAGGCCATCACAGATTTCCTGATGTTACAAGCGGATAAAGGTACTACACCCCTGTGTAACTTAGATGTTCAGCCATTGGCAGCTCATGCCTACACCCTCGCTTGCTCTGGCCCTTTGAGGAGGCCACGCTATTCGTGAGTCGGCAGGACTATGGGATGAACGACGTCATTCCTGCTGTTGCACGTCTCTGGAACAAATGCTGTTAACAATGGCTGCATACCATCCAGGGTGCGGTAGACGTGGCGCACAGAATCTCAACGCCACATGACCCCTGTGGGGGCAGGACAGGAAGAAGAGAGGTAGGAGGAGGTAGAGGAGGACATTGGTGCTCAGGAATTATTGAGTGAAATGGGTGGTTTTTTCCACTCAGCGGACTGGAGTGGAGGAGCAGGAGCAGCATCTGGTAGAGGAGGGGAGGAGGAGACAGAGGACCCAGACCTCCTGGCAGTATGCTGTGGAGATGGAGGCAGGGAGTCCCTCGCATTCCTTGGCAAAAATGGCCCATAGCAAGCTCGCTTGCTTGCGTAGCGACAACCTGAATGCCAATAATCAACCATCAGACAGAGGGATGGATTTTTTGGCTGTCCACCTTGTTGGACCCCCCACATGCTACTGCCAGTTCAAAAATGGTGGCCTTTTTCACACCATTGACTGCTGCTGAGAGTGGGAGGCCAAAATCTACAACGTACTATAAAAACCACCTATGTAGTCAGCTGGTCTCTGCCTTTCTGCGCCAACGTCCATCCTCAACACTGTGGGCCCTGTGCGCTCGCGTTCCGCTGCCATGGCAGCAGGGGAGGGGTGGGGTGGTAGGAGCAGTGGCAGCTCCACCAGCAAAAGCGGCTGCCTCAGTCTGCAGTCGATGATGAGTACTTTCTTCACCAGCGCAGTGAGGAAACTACTAACCAGCCCGCAGTCCAGCAGCAGCATCATCAGGGACCTGGAGCAGGACCTCCCAAACAACAGGCTTAGGCCTACTTGGACAGCACCCTGCCAACCGAGGTAGACAATCCCCTTGACTACTGGGCAACGAAACTTGACCTTTGGCCCCAACTAGCTGAATTTGCCCTTGAAAGGCTGTCATGCCCGGCCAGTAGCGTGGCATCGGAGTCGGAGCGCGTGTTTAGTGCGGCAGGAGGTATTGTAACTCCGCGGAGGACACGACTGTGCCCCACCCAAAGTGTGGAGAGACTCACGTTTGTGAAAATGAATCAGGCGTGGATTAGTCTGGATTTCAAACCAACAGTATCCTGACACAACTGACTAGACTAAATCCGCCATGAATCATGCCCAAACATGTGCCACTTTCAGGTCTCCTCACACTGCTGGTGTGTTCCATTTTTTGTCATAGGGTGCTGGCAATTACGGGCCTTCCATGCTGCTGCTGCTGCCAGGCCCGTAATCTGCCATGGGGCCCCTGTACCGCCTCCTCATCCTGCTGGCTGCTGCCAGGTCCAGAGTGTGTCATGGGTCCCTGTACGGCCTCCCATTGCTGCTGTCGTCCATCGCCACACTCTGCCATGTGCCACTTTCAGGTCTCCTCACACACTGCTGGTGTGTTCCATTTTTTTGTCATAGGGTGCTGGCAGATTACGGGCCTCCCATAGCTGCTGCCAGGCCCCTAATCTGCCATGGGCCCCTGTACCGCCTCCTCATGCTGCTGCCAGGGTCCACAGTGTGTCTCATGCCATTGTGCCACTTTCAGGTCTCCTCACACTGCTGTTGTGTTCCATTTTTTGTCATAGGGTGCTGGGCAGATTACGGGCCTCCCATCTGCTGCTGCCAGGCCCCTAATCTGCCATGGGCCCCTGTACCGCCTCCTCATGCTGCTGCCAGGTCCACAGTGTCTCATGCCATGTGCCACTTTCAGGTCTCCTCACACACTGCTGGTGTGTTCCATTTTTTGTCATAGGGTGCTGGCAGATTACGGGCCTCCCATAGCTGCTGCCAGGCCCCTAATCTGCCCATGGGCCCCTGTAGTACCGCCTCCTTCATGCTCCAGCTGCTGGGCCAGGTCCACAGTGTCTCATGCCATGTGCCACTTTCAGGTCTCCTCACACTGCTGGTGTGTTCCATTTTTTGTCATAGGGTGCTGGGCAGATTACGGGCCTCCCATAGCTGCTGCTGCCAGGCCCCTAATCTGCCATGGGCCCCTGTACCCCTCCCCCCACTCATGCTGCTGCCAGGTCCACAGTGTCTCATGCCATGTGCCACTTTCAGGTCTCCTCACACTGCTGGTGTGTTCCATTTTTTGTCATAGGGTGCTGGCAGATTACGGGCCTCCCATTGCTGCTGCCAGGCCCCTAATCTGCCATGGGCCCCTGTACCCCGCCTCTTCATGCTGCTGCGAGGTCTAGAGTGTGTCATGGGTCCCTGTACGGCCTCCCATGCTGCTGCTGCCAGGAGGCAGCAGGGTCGCAGCAGTGTCAGTGGAGGCAAACGGCCACGGAGTAGAGCACCAGCTCCACTGCAGCCTACCACCACGGCCAGTCGTGGTGCCGGTGTGCACGGAGGAAGTAGCAGTCAGGCCAGTGAGGAGTAGCTGCGGGGGCAAAGTTTCCTACTCGGCGGCTGTGGCAATTTTTCGTCAAGCCGCCCGAGGAAGTAAACGTAGCCGTGTTGAATGTCGACTATGTGGCCAGAAAGTCAAGCGTGGCCAGGGGGCCCATGTTGGGACTACAGCGTTGCGTCAGCATATGCAGCGTCGCCATTCGGTGGCCTGGAAAACCGTCATAAAGATACGGCGGTTTCTGCCTGCCCCAGCCCAGGGTTCCATTTTGTCATAGGGTGCTGGCAGATTACGGGCCTCCCATTGCTGCTTCCAGGCCTTATTCTGCCATGGGCCCCTGTACCGCCTCCTCATGCTGCTGCCAGGTCCACAGTGTCTCATGGGTCCCTGAACCGCCTCCCATTGCTGCTGTCTCCATCGCCACACTCTGCCATGTGCCACTTTCAGATCTCCTCACACTGCTGGTGTGTTACATTTTTTTTGTCATAGGGTGCTGGCAGATTACGGCCTCCCATTGCTGCTGCCAGGCCCGTAATCTGCCATGGGCCCCAGTACCGCCCGCCTCCTCATGCTGCTGCCAAGTCCACAGTCTCTCATGGGTCCCTGTTACGGCCTCCCATTGCTGCTGTCTCCATCGCCACACTCTGCCATGTGCCACTTTCAGGTCTCCTCACACTTCTCGTGGGTTCCATTTTTTGTCATAGGGTGCTGGCAGATTACGGGCCTCCCATAGCTGCTGCCAGGCCCCTAATCTGCCATGGGCCCCCTGTACCGCCTCCTCATGCTGCTGCCAGGTCCAGAGTCTCTCATGGGTCCCTGTACGGCCTCCCATTGCTGCTGTCTCCATCGCCACACTCTGCCATGTGCCACTTTCAGGTCTCCTCACACTGCTGGTGGTTTCCATTTTTGTCATAGGTGCTGTATGGCCTCCCATTGCTGCTGCCTCCACCGCCACACTGTGGCTCCACACTCTGGTTTTGGCCCCGTGACTGCCCAAATGAGTGAAGTGTGCGGTGATTCTAAGATCGACGGCACTCATCTGCATGTCATACTGACTGTCAGTATTATTTCTCTTCCCAGCAGACTCCAAGGGCATTTAAATTAAAGGTACAGTGTTCTGCACTAATATAAAGGTTTTGAATCAAAAAGAGGCGAAATTTTTAGTACCAGAATCTTGTAGAATCCCCGTAATATACACAATCCCCAAACTACATAAGGATCAGACCAACCCGCCAGGTCGTCCAATAGTAAATGGGATTGAATCAATTTTAGCAAGAATGGGGAACTATATTGATATATTTTTACAACCACTGGTCAAAGAAACTAAATCCTATCTACGCGATACCAAACACCTGTTACAGGAATTAGAAAAGGTAAAAGATAATATTCAAGAGAGTTCCGACATCTATTTAGTGAGTGCAGACGTCGCATCCCTGTATACAATAATAGGGCATGAGGAAGCGATTGAATCTGTGAGTTGGGGTCTCAGAGTGTTTAGCAAACTACCTTGGAAACAAAAGAAGTATTTAGTAGAGTGTTTAGACTTCAGTCTATCACATAACTATTTCTGGCATGCTGAGCAATTCTTCCAACAGATTAGGGGTGTAGCCATGGGTGCGCGATTTGCTCCGAGTGTGGCGAACCTATTCATGGCGCACTGGGAGGAAGAAATGATTTATTCACAGTACAGAAAAGAGTTATTGATATATAAACGTTTTATTGATGATGTATTCATTGTGTGGAAAGGAAGTCTGGAATCCCTGCGAGAGTTTCTTGACATTTTGAATAATAACCAGAAGAACATCAAATTAGCATGGGAAATTGGTAGTGAATGTATTAACTTTCTGGATTTGAATATTAGAATTATTAATAACGAATTCATCACTAAAACATATTTCAAAGAGGTAGATCGAAATGGATATATTCCTATAGGAAGCTGCCACTATCCCCCGTGGCTGATGAATATTCCGAAAGGACAATTTGTACGTTTAAGAAGGAACTGCACTCTAAAAGATGAATATTTGGAACAAAGTAATATAATAGGGGAGAGATTCCTGAAGAAGGGATATACGCAAGAATTTATTGACAAAAAAAAATAAGAAAAAAATAGGTGATATGGAGTAGGTGTGATTTTTTGAAGGATAGAAATGAAAAGAAGAAAGATCAAGACCAGTTGGCTATAATTTTAGATTTTAATTTACATTTTAAAATGGTGGAAGGCATTTTTAAAAAACATTGGCCTCTTTTAAAAGCAGACCCTATACTAGGCACTGTTTTATCAGATCGCCCAAAATTTATTTATAGAAAGGCCCCTTCAATAAGGACAAAAGTAATAAAGAATGTAATTAACCCACCTAATAAGAAAATGGTGACATTTTTGGATACAGCCGGTTTCTTTCCGTGTAGGAAGTGCTACGCGTGTAGAGAAACTAAAGGGGCGAACAAGAGAAAATAATCTTTTAAAGCAACAATCACAGGTAATGAGTATAATATTAGTGAATTTATCTCATGCAGAACAGAAGGGGTGGTGTACTGTTTGGAATGCTCTTGCGGTCTTCAGTACGTGGGGAGGACGAAAAGACCTCTATGGAAGCGACTACAAGAGCATGTACAAAAAATAAAGAAGGGATCAGTAAAACATAGTGTGCCTAGACATTTTTTGACCCATCACAACAAGGATCCCTCCATGCTAAAATTCTGGGGAATAGAGAAGTACAATAGTCATTGGAGGGGAGCCATAAAGTAAGGTCCTTGAGTAAATCCGAATCGAAATGGATTTTTGATATGAAGACTCAAGTCCCGAAAGGCCTAAACGTAGACTTCGATTTGAACTGCTTCATTAGTGATTATTAATAAGGTAGAGGTTTATGTGGTAATATCTGGTTTGTTACGGTAAATTAATGGAATTTTAACTAAAAATGTTTTAATTATTTATAATTTTTAGATTTGTCTTAGGTAGGATTGGTCTATGATGTATAGTGATCTGTTTTGCGCAATTCTTTAGAAGGATTAATAACACACATTGTTTCATTTTGTGTAGTAGAGATTGATGTTTTAGTAATAGGATAATATGATGTAGTGATAGGTTTTTTATTAGTATGTAAGTGTGTAAACGTAAACCGATGCTATGGATGAATTTATGGGTATATATACATACATTTATATTTTTATTGATCTTAAGGATTTGATTTTAATATTAATAAAATTGGTTTGAGGGGTATTCTAATTTTAATTTTATTCCATAGTGCAATATGATATGTGTCCAATAGGGGGAGGGGGTGATAGTATTGGGTGTTTTATTTTATTTTATTTTACATTTTCTATCTTGTATCCTTTATTAAATCCCCCAGTTTTATATTATTTTATTCTAATATATTATCAATTGGTGTTTTATTGCCATAATGGATTGTTATAGTTGTATTCCGGAGGTGGAGGAGTACATTCCCATTGCTGTATAGGGGGAAGTGTATATATAGGTCGCTGGTCCGTTGCTCCATAGCGTTTATTTACTGTTATGGTCACCGCATTAATGGATAATACTTGTGGGCTCCGAGAAAATGGCCACTCGGGTCCGCCCCCAATTCTAATTGGGTTGGGAAGATAGTATATATAGAATCCAGTCCTCGGTGGGCGTCAACCCTGAGGAAGTCACGTGTTACCGTGACGCAACGCGAGGAGGATTCTGGGAGCGCGGTGACGTCATTTCCGGCGTGGCGGCCATACCTGAAACCCCTGTATACATATACCCATGGAGGAGATTCATAGCATGGGCACTGAAGGCTTGTTACAAGATGATTTTAAATGTGAGTGGGCAAATTTTCTACATATCTATTGATTGAATAAACAGGATTACACTATGTGAGTTTTTGTTTGCATATAAACCGAGGAGGAGATCTCTGTTAGAGTGTAAGAGGCGGGGAAGGTCCTGGTGAGTCATCTAAAGGGTGTCCTGTTGTTGAGCGAGCTGACCCTGTGGGGTCTTGGCAAGGAGGTGAGGAGCCATCACGGCCCAAAGTTTGGATTCACACAGTGTGGACACGTGTGACACATGCATGAAGATTGATAGTTTTGACGCATTTGGACACTTTATTTTTTATTTCATTTGAGATTGATCATCATTTCAATAGATGATTGGAGTGATTTTGATTGCACTTTATTCTCAATTTTGCACTTTATTTTCACTGTTAAGCACATGATTTGCACAAATTTTGTTTATGCGCATATTTGTATATGCACTATTTTTGCACATATGTTGAGTAAGTTGTGTTAATATGTAAAGTATTTTTAATCAAGTGTGCACTTTATTTAAATTTATGTATATTTATTTAAATTAGTTTAGGGAGAGCTCTGCACTTTATATTTATATTTATTCACTCATTTTGGTAAAGGAGTTTGGTGTCAGCTGCTTGGTGAATAGGGCCCCATTTCTTAGCGCAAGAAGTTCTCGCACTTTGACACCTATTAACAAGCTCTTTTCTTCCAAGGAGTGAATGAAGGCACACAGACACCCATTGATGAATCTTCATGCCTGTGTAAAGTTACAAGGTGCCCCAGAAGACAAGAATGTGGGTTTTGGCTGAATATGAATAACTTTTTGCTATTTAGCTACTTTCCACTGAGTTCATCAAACAGCCTGAAAATTATTCAGGTGGAGATCAGATGGCTCTGAAACAGCAGGATCAGAGTTTGGGTGGGGGTAAAACCATGCCCAGGACCCCCACATACCTAAAGGCTACCAGAGCCCTGACCTCGTACCTGAAGAGTTGGTGCATTCTGTCTAATGATCTAGAGCAGTGATTATTACATTTTTATTTTGAGTCACAGATCCATTTAAGAAACTGATGAAAGCTATGGACCCTCTTCCCAGACATATTCACACAAACACAACTTTGTATGCAATGAATGTACTGTATGCACTTTATTTTATTGAAATTGAATTGCCTCACACATATATGGTGTTCTCTCCAATCTAAGCATTGAAAGTGTGATCTCTGTAACTTACAGTTGTGATGAGATAGAGATAACTCCAATCTTAGTTGAAAATCACAGACAGTGACTCAATCCAGAAGACATCTTGTAGATCTTGTGAAGTTTATTCCATAAACTGAGAGAATCTTACAACAATGAACAATGGATAGGTCAAAAGATCATAATGTGATCTGCTTCATGACATGCTAGAAGCTGCAATGCCTTGCTGGGAAAAGGGGTGGGCTATCTATACAACATTACCAAACCAAAGGAAAGGGAGGAGCAGAGACAAAATACAGAGAACACTTAAAGGCATATGACAGTCATGTGAAACATGACACTCCTCGTCTATGATTTCTATTATAACAAACTTTAGTCCACTATAAGAAATGAAGATTCTTTCCAGGAACATCTGCAAAACAAGAGGGAAGGGAAGAACAAAGGAAAACAATACAAACATTTAGCATAATACTTGCAGATGTTGGTCTCGAAAGTCCAGGCTGAGACGTGGAAATCCATATTCAGAGGGGAAGGCAGCAACATGCACTATTCCTTCTTACCTCCTTTTAAATCAAGTTGATGACTTGTCTTCCTTTTTAAGCAAAAGAAGAAGTACTAGTTCCTTTATAGGCCTGAAGTAAAGGTGTGCAGAACCTTCTTTCATGGTGGATATAGCCAAGATGTGTCCAGAAATGTAGTAGTAGGTATTGCATGACTGCCGCAGTCAGCAGGGTTGAGGCTAGAGGGAACATAGTGCCATTGTTCAGGCGTAGAGAACTTCCACTCTGCTTTCCACTCTGTTGCCGACATACACGTAGTACTATAGGAAAGAACCTCTGAATTCACCCAAAACTTAAAGTAAACCTTTCATAAAGAAACACTGGACTTCTGGTTCCGACGCTCCATGTAGCAGACGCGGGACCCTCGGCTCCGGCTCCACCCGCCTATAACATCTGCTCCCCACCAGCGGTACACCCGGCAATCATTACCAGGAAATCCCCCCCTGCATACCGGCACCCCCCATGCATGGACCGGTACCTTGCGCCAGCTCCTCCCGGCTCCAATCCCACCACACAGATGGAGGGATGCAGCTCTCCCCCTCCTGCAGCCAAGATGGCCGAAGGCATGGACACAGGTATGGCAGAGACACAGGCAGTTGCAGT